AAATCGGAGGGTGGAAATCAAACAAAAAGGTTTTTTTCCACATTTTGTCAGGATGTTCCTTTCTTCCTGCGGCATATCAGCTGAAGCATGTTGCTCACCTTCAAGTAGTATGCTACGAGGATTATGACGCGATTGCTGTCCCTTACCCGCTGGTCTCCATGGTTTTCTGTTAGCTCTGTGTCTAGCTGCTAGACTGCTGAGACTACTACTACTACTAATACTACTACTACTACTACCAATACTACTACTACTACTACCAATACTACTACTACCAATACTACTACCACCACTACTACTACTACTACCAATACTACTTTTACTACTATTACTACTAATACTACATAAAAGTCGGCTGATAGTTGACCAAGCAAATATCCAATTGCTAAGCCATCTATATATCTGTGTAACTGACTGTTAAGTCGAAACTTAACTTTTACGTACGTCGGAGTACCGGTTGTTACTGTTGGTTGGTTAGTACACCAATATCTTAAGTATACTTGAACAATCCAAGACGACACATAGAACGTACTATAACGAATAATACACGCTTGAGAGCTTTTCCTTACAGAGTTTTGATAGTGTTACCTTAGGGGCAAATATCACCTGAATTGGAAAGACACCCCAACTTCGCGACGCCCTCACATGGAGAAAGCATTTATTCGGAAATCAAGTCGACTGCAGTACTTGGCAACTTTGAGCTGGTGGTTGCCCAGGTTGCTTTTTTGGCTCAGTTGCAACAGGTTTCGACATATGTGATTTGAGTTTACATTATCAGCTATAATTTGAGGAGATCTCCTGGCTGAAGCTGAAACTCAAAAATGTACGATCTAGCAGCTTGCGGTCTGCGTTGGTAATGGAGGTGCAACTTCCCTAAAGTGTCGGTTCATTTACCCTGGGGAGATTCAAGTGCATAAACATTGTTTTGCGCCACGGACGCCAGGCATGGATCAGGTAGTCCTACGTGAGGCCTCAGCTAGGCATTCAGCATTATGGAAAAGTTGATAGTCCGAACTTCAAGAACGCCATTCGGCCAATGCGGTGAATGAATGTTTCGACACCATTTCATTCCGTTCTGAGCATCAAACTTCGTGGTGCACGATTGCCCCGAAATCGGCTTCCCGCTTCTCACCCAGTCGATATTCGTGAGTAAACTGATGGCGTATGCTTCGGAAATCTGCATTTCGTGACGTCCAACTGGAGCCGGTTTTCGGATGATCAAATATAGGCGCTGTTAAGATATCCTTGTAGTGCCGCATGGTCGTACACCGTTTGGATGTCATATCAGATCTCGACATTGTTTGCAATTAAGAAGAAGGCTGACTGCAGCAGCCTAGCAAGGTCGTTGATAACTAATGGGAATAAACGTGGTCCCAGTACCTGGGATCAGCATAATGAACTTCAATTGGATCATAGATTGATTTGCCGAGTCTCAAATTCAGCTTACTTTCATTGAAGAAGTTACTATCCAACCTAGCATACGGTCACCGATTCCATAGCTTCGAATTTTGTGAAGAAGAATGCGGTGGTCTAGGCGGTCGAACGCTTTAGAGAAGTCCAAGCCCACAATGACGACTCCTTATCTGGCATCGACTGACTTCCTTCAGCTTGTCGGGCTAGCAGAAGGTTTGTAGTTCAGGAACGACTGCAGCGAAATCCACCCTCCGTTGACACTGTGATTCTGCTCCTTTCAAGGTATCTCATAAGCTCCCTTGCGATTATACCTTCCGTTATTTGGATAACACTGGGAGGAGGGTGACTGCAGGGTAGTTAAAGAGCTCAGCACCACTCCCACTCCTGAAACTAATAGTGACTATTCCCTGTTTCCACATGGTCGGAACGTGCATTTCCACAATATTTCGTTCGTAGAACCGAGCCAAAGGTTAGGGGATGCCCATGGTGGCTATCTTAAATGGATTCTCTCTGACATTGTCCACATCAGGAGAGCTGTGCACGCGTAAGGACAGCAGCATTGTAGAATACGTGGATTAATCTTGGGGACGGAAAGAGTCGTGTCATGCACTGATGAGGGAAATATTCACTTTGGAAAGTGCGGATGAAGTGTCCCCGAAGTTCTTTCGCTGCAGCTCGTGTAACCAGCGTCAAACTATATATTTCACACACTGCGCACTCTGGAGCAGGTTAACATGCCTGTAGAGCATCTTAGGACTACAACTGAATTTCGTCGGTAAGTGTTGTTAGTGCCGGAGTTTATCCTCACGGATCAAATTGATGCCGTGCTTCCGTTGATTTGTATAGTCAAACCAGTCCTGCTCATCGGGATAAGCATTATAAGCGCGCCAGGCCGAATCCCTTAGAGCCCTGCGTTATCGTATCCGGCTCCTCAATAAAGACTTCATTTGAATCGGGTTAAAGACTTTGGTATCAGACGCACTTGCCACTAGCTCGGTGAATTGGGTAACAAACGACATGGAGACAACCTCGGGCCGCCGCTAGGGTAGGAACGACCAGTAGGTTTTTGAACGAGGTAGGACATATTGTAGTAATGGTTGGGAAAATAAACATCCTCGCCGTTTTCCCAGATGTATTTCACGTAGCAGATGTAGCAGAAGAATAAAGTCGCGTGATCGCTACCATCGAGCAATGCGCTTATAGTTACCGCATCAGTTCTTAGTACTACATTAGTGAACACATGGTCTAAGACAAATGGTTCATCGTCACTTCTGCATCTCGTGGGAACCGTGACGTGTTTATATAGCGGTATACCCGCGATTACTTCCCGCAAAGTCCCCTTTGAATTGCTTGCTGAGCCAAGCTGGGATTTCGATTGCGTGCAGGTTGAAGTTCCCCATTATAAGTATATGACTGTATAACCATGTCAAGATTCGTTTCATAGCAGGCAACAATTAGTGATCCACTTCCATGGTGGACCTTGGAGGGCAGTAGATAATTGCAAGTAAGCACATAACACGTTTAAGATGCAGGTGGCACCAGAGACAGTTGATAACTTGCGCAGCTCGACCATCGTTGATATCGATATGCATATCAAATCTGCAGTACAAGAGCACACCGCTTCCTCTACTGTGTCGAACTTTTCGTAGGGGAATCATGCCGGGCATCAGTGATCGTAGTAATCAGCTATGTTTCTATAGTCTTGATGATATCCCATGGACTAGAAGCATGACGATTACGAAGCTAGAGTAAGGTACTGAGAAGGCCATGTGCTTTGGTACCCATTCAGGTAGGAACCTCATAGCTTAGTAATGTACCTGTAAATGCGGCTTATGGGTTGTGGAATACGCCGACTATTGTGGAGTCGGCTGTTGGTCCTCTTTTTGTTGAGTGCTACTCGCTGGCCACGGGGCGGGTTGGCATGCAGAGTTCTCGGCGTCAGAGTTGGTTGCAAGCCAAACCATCCTCCAGCTGACGGAGTGTTTTGACTTCATCCAGGCTCTGAGCGGCATATTGACGAGGTCGCAAAGCAGGATTGCATATCTCATACATTTGTGATCTGGTGTCCATGTATTTTACACCTATTCCTGCTGGCAGCTTCTCGTGCCTATTGGCCCGCATGTTCATCACCGTTTCGGCTACGGTTTTGGATTGCAGTGTTGTGTTATCACTCGTGGACCGCTATCTCGGTAGTTAGCGGATGATAGCAAGATTAAGATTGAATTGGCGATCGTATTTTCAATGGCGAATACTTCCCGGATGATGTACCATTCATCGCAGTCATACGTTTCGCCTCTAGTTTGCTTGAAATCTGAGACTTGGTGACATGGCGCACACGAAGCAATTTTATGTCATTTTGCTTGCGGTTATCGTTTAGTTTGTATTTCTGGCGTTCGGTCCAATAAACATCTGGAAAATGCGACGAGTGTATTGACTTGTACGGAGCCGTGTGGCTGACAGTAGAACAGTCTCCCCAACATCTGATTAAAGCGCTACTTGGATTACTCCTGGTACACCGTAGTGTGCCAAGATTAGTTGACGAAACAAGCCATAATTAACGCATCTTTTAGACTCTACTTACTTGACAGGTGACATCCCTCTCTTTCTGGTCTTCTAGCAGACTGCCTTCGAGGTAGTTCACCTCGGATTCAGGGACAGTTGCGCATATAACAGTAAGAGAATTATGACGCCGTATAGTGTTCTTCTTGTTGGATGGGTGTGTGGCTTCTTTCTCTGGTCTAACAATAGGTGTCATACTGCGTCCCTTGGTTGTATCGGTGATCGTAATTTATCTTAGACAGCGATCGAGGCCATGGTGTCTAGTAACTGTGTCATGTGGCTGACAACAACGAACGCGTATGTTGTTGCTCCCTCAGCAGTGCTGTGCGTACCGCGGGATGTTGATGAAATAAGCTGTCCGAAAGCATCATTAGAAGCGGGCCCTTGTACCGTCACAGTAGTCCGCTTGTTTGGTGTGCCTAGGTCTTGATGATGGTTCACACGCCCAGCTTGGATGCCGTTCCGTTCCGAATTAGAGTTCGATGTTTTACATCCATCTGGAGGTTCTGAATCCACTGGGTCCAGTGGGTCAGATCTTTCGACAGCTGTCCGTTATACAATATCTATCAGTCTGTCGCACCACTGCACCAGTATTACCACGCACCTGACGTGTGGTATAGCCTTACAGGGTATGCAGAACCTAACCGAATCGTTTGCGCTATTTGGTTTGTACCTCGTTTAGGCAAGGGAGAAGGAAATATAATCTTTTGCGACAAATTATGCACTCTATTCTACTCCGTATTTTCTTGAGACAACCTCTACAATTAGCGTCTGCTTTTAATGCTTCTGGACCAGCTCACCGTAGGCAGGCAGTGCGCGCCATGATGATCGCCAATTCAGTTCGTTACTTGGAGTGTCCATCGTCACGAGGTTACTCCGAGCAGGCACTGTGGTAATGGCGCTCACAGATTGCTTAGATGGATGAGATGGACTTCTTTACAACGGCAGTGGGCAAGCTACTTTCACCGACCTTGACCACTGGGAGATATGAAGCAGGGTAGGGAGATGAAGAGAAGTAGAACAACCTCAGTGTAATATCGATATCTATTGCAAACTTTTCACAAATAAATACAAAATGCTGTAAAAGGTGCAATGCCGGGACATCTTGTATTGCTGTGAATCTTCGAGATATGAGCAGCTCATCAAAATCGAAATAGTTTCCTATCAAGATACCTGTGGTGCTGCTCCACCTCTCCGGAAAAGTAAGGGAAATTTTCGCGGTTTCGAATATACAGGAAAACTATTTTGTCGTAGGAATTGATGCTTGTCTGAGTGAAGCACGGAATTGCATGAATCAGGTGAAACCATATCAGAAGGAAGTTGTTGATCGGATGCGCGTGTCTTGCTTTGATAAGCGGACAATGTGCTCAAGGCCTTCCTCCGGACTCGCTGTATGGAAGTTCGTATGCACAGTTCTTTAAAGTAGCTGAAAATAAAATATCAAATGCGCCATGATAAAATTGGGTTTTTTATTTAAGTGGCTTAAATCTTCATATTCTTGATTTTAAAATATATCAACGCTAATCTACTGCAAAGGCGCTGGCCAACTATTAGAACAGATATTTAGTGGTCATGCATGAAGGTAGGTATAGATTTTCCTAGTGGAATTGAAATTGATGCAGGTGCTTTAATGTATCCATGCGCGTTCCATAAATTTAAAGAAGACAATGAAATGCGTATATCAGTTTTCGGTTCTGTGCCTCCTGTGTGGTAGTGGTTGGACCCTGAACCACCCTAGTAACGGCAGCGTATGCCATTATCCAAAGCAGCTGCTTCTAATGGAAATGGAAAAACAAATAAGCTTGGTTAATAAGACACTCACGCAGACAGATCCTCAATTTCTGTGCATTTGGCCCCCTGTGCAAGGTAAAGCTCGTCTCGGTCAGTTAATTCCTTCACCAAAGTTTGGTTGAGATCTGAGACAGAAACAGATTTCTTGTGCATTTTAACTACTCATAAGTAGGTGGCAAAAACGCATAACTGACCGCAACGAAACATCAGGGGAACGAGATTTGGACAACAACCGTTCTGTTGGATTAGCGCAGGTAAGCATGAGACCATAATGAAAATGTAAAACAGATATTTTTGCCCATATTTCAGTGGCAAAATTGATCAACTTAACTGTCATTTTTGCACGGCATCGAGCATTTTTCTTATAATCACTGCTATAACGACTTGCATTTCCCACATACCATTCGGCATTAACATCAGGCCTACAACACAAACACTGTATGCGCACAAAACAGTGATTAAAATCTTCTTCACTGGACGCTGACGACATGTGAATGATAAATAACCGTTATCTGTGCTTTGTAGAATGCCATTCAGTTTCAGTGAAAAAACAAGTGAATATATAGTGTATTTCATTACAGATGGAAACATATTCCGACGGTGCGTCCGGTCGAAGTACACAAATTGATTGCAAAGATTTTAGTCCAAACAACAAACTAAATACGTATAAGCTTGATTTGATGAGACACTGTATTGGATGGGGTCGGTTGTTTACATGAAGTAGCAATGCATCTAGCACATGTCGATTGATGGGGAGCACAAAAATTGCAGGGTGGCATTTTTCATATATGCCATTAACACGCCGAGTAGTGCAACAGTAAATCAGCTTCTGTGTCAAATTTGGTATTGAGCACCGTTATGAGTAAAGTTGATCTTGTCACTTGCGTGCTGAAATATCTGATTTATTTTTCTGGTAGAGATTCGCCGTCAGTGATGGCAAAGAAATAGAGTACAAATCTAGCAGCAATCAGGAGTCGATTTCAATCAGTAGAAATCGGCCGATTTTTCCCACAACTAATGTAAAATTCGGTTGCTCTTTCTTTGTCTAATGACGGCACATGGATTAGAATCGGTTGTTCGTAAGTTTGGTTATAATGGCTGCTTTTGAACATATAATAAGCAGCAACTGGGATTCAAAAACAGTCGGAAGGTTTGGAGGTTAACTAGGTGCAAATTGGTGTTCTCTAGACCTATATCAATGATGTTTTAGGGAGAGAAGACTTAAGATTCTACTCGCACCTTGAGATCACTTAGCTTGCTTTATTAACTGACAACTCATCTGTAACATTTATAATAAAAGGCTGCCACTTCTTGTAGTGCGTTTCTCGTACGAAAAATCTCTGGTACTTAATTATTTATAGTAAGAACAGTGTCATCAATGATGTATTGTGGATAAAAAGCAATGCTTAACATGTCCCATGGGAAGGAAAGAATTGATAAAACAAATCATGATAATAAAATGAAAAATCTTCCTGTGGACCCAACAAGGTGTTCGCAATAAGACATGAGTAAAATATCAGACATATTCACATGATAATATGTAGAAAAATACCAACTGGTTAGAATAATTGCAGTCCACCGTTTGCTTGTATTATGTAGACTCTGACTAATACAAGTCATAAAGCGAATTGCGAATGAGTCAATGCTTAATCAGACAGCTTTTAGTATCGTAACCTTGGGGACAGAAGCGAGCTTATTTGGGAGTGTGTTCCGTGGCTGACATAAACGAAGCGAAAAGAGATTTCTGTGACATTCTAGACGGTTATGCTGCATTGTCCGTTTCAGAGGATGACTTCCTAGGTTGGTGTCTTGTTTCAGATCCAGCAGCAAGTGGCAAATGTGGTTTGGGTTCTTCAGGAGCTGGTAAATCATAATACGCGTTTACGCAAGCGCCGCTATCGACTGTCATACATTCTTATGAGCTTCAAGCTAAGCTGGTAAGGCAGATGGAGAAGGCCCTCTTCGCTGATCATTCTCTAGAGCAACAAGGTCATGTTTTGGTCACGAATGCTACACCTGGATAGTGTATTTCAGTTGCAGTCCCACATTGGCCTTAAGCATTTCCGGGAAGACTGAAGAGTCAAACCGACCGGACGCTAAGCGAAGAAGGCCAAAATGTTGATTACCAGTTCTCGACGTCTTTTCGGAGTGTTTTGTACAGCCGAGATCGTACTGCATCAATATCCCAAGATCATTCTCTAGAGAAGCCTTCAGAAAGTTGTCTTCTCTAAGCTTGTGCGAGTTCACCGGCTGATGACGCAGGTGGATCACTTTGCACTTAGCTGCTTTGAACTGGAGTAGGTTCCCCGTTGACCACTAGAAAGTATACCATGTCTCGTTGGAGAAACTAGTTACGAACAATTTCATTAGTCGCTCTCAAACTATTTACGTCATCGGCGAAATGCAGGAAGTTTGAAGCGACCACTCTTAACAATTATTTGATAAACGCCATTAATAAGCATTGCCCAAGCACAGATCTATGTGAAATACAGCATTCCATTTAAATTTTGTTCGAAATTGATCCGCTAACACACACTTGCAGCCTACATTGGTGAAGGGAGCTGTAAACCCACCTAAGAACAGATATCTGATTCCGTAGCTCCGTAGCCTGTGAAGTAGAATGTAGTGATCCTGGCGGTCGAAAGTTTTGGCATCGGCTCTGACCCCACAATCAGCCACTTCCATCCAACTAACTTGTGCCAAAAGCAGGCTGGTGGTGCATGACCGGCATTGACGGAAACCATGCTGCTCCAGTGCCAAGACGTAACATCTTTTCCAAGTAGTCCCCTATCGCCTTAGCAAAGACCGCTTCCATCACTTTCAAGAACACAGGGAGACAAGTTACTGGGTGATGGTTTGCAGAATCTGAACGGCAACATGTGACGCTTAGTTTTGCTGGCTGGGTATTTTGATAATTGTTGTCGAAAACACGCTATGGTTCAGATAAATTGGAACCAAAAAGTTGACTGATTATTAAGGTTAAACGAATGCTACTGTAACAGAAATAGGTAACTGTTAAAAAGGAAGAATAACATCCATCTATCGAAAGACAGTAGACAGGCTGCATTGCATAACACAACTGGAGCTGAAATTTATCCATAAACTTGGGTGAGATTATGCACAATAAACTAAATGATTTCTCCTAATAGAGAAGTAAATGACGGGAGTTGTGCGACATCGTTATTCAGTGGACATCGACCCGAAAACCTGAATACTTGGATAGATCAAAGGGGCACGCAAGCGTGCAGCAATTCCTAGGTTCGAAATTGGAGAGTGAGTGAAAAGTGAACTGGCGTCGAAACACCCATACCTGCTGTGGGTGAAAAAGTTTAAGCGAAACACAGCTCCCGCTGTCAAGGTTACTGCTACCGCTGTTACTCTTTCAGTTACCACCACCATTACGCACTGAAATCTCACCTCGACTGGTGAGGAAACGTCTGTAATAGAATCACCCACTCGGAGAACTAACCAACATCCCAGTAATTGTAAGCCTTCCAACCTCCGTCAATGGCAGTTGCGCTGAGTCCATTAATTGGTTGCGTAATGTTTCTTCGGTTGCACATTATGCAGATGCATCAGTGCGCATCATCTAGTCGTAATTGCAAATACGAATGGCATGAGCGCAAAAATGTTATGCGTCAGAAGAGTGTTTTGCGGTAAACCAACGCTCCATGTAAACAATTGCAGTTACATTCCAAGGGGGTATGCTGCGCAAACAAGTTCACTTAGTGTCCGCCTCCTAATTCGGGCTACGGTTAATTTTCAAGATGCGAAGATGAACGTGAATGCGGTCACACTACAGCTGACTATATAATCCACCGCACACCAGTAGAGCCTTCACTCTATGTTTTATGAGAAGTATGACAAACCCATAATAATTAGAATTGATTTACTCTGTTATACACCAAACGCAGATGGTTTACGCGTTTGTAATATCCCTAGGTCTGGATGGCCTAACCCAGGTAAGGCTTGGTGTTCCTGTTGATAAATTTTGTGGTGATGGAAAGATGAAACCACACAACATTCTTCCACAAGAGCTTTGTGTTCTTGTTCTCGGTTTCAACTTGTCAAGAAATGTCTCAAGCAGCACAGGTCACCCAAAGCCACTAAGCAACATCATGCTACTGTAAGACTTTGTGCGGTGTCTGCTCTCCAAGCAACTATACGACGTTTGGCTGATGACCTGCATAAACTATATTACATTTATGCTACCTAAGCAAAGGTAGATTTGTCACAGAGTTTCCGATTGGAACATCTAAGTCTCAATGTAGCAAGGATTCACTACCTGTTCTCCGCCGGATGAGAACTGCAATGCATAAATCAGCACTAGATATCAGAATACGCACTGAAAATGTTGATGTGTTCTTGATTGGCAACTTTTCTTCCTATGAAAAGCCACAAGATTGCTTAGCAACACTGGATCATGGCGGATACGGCTCAACACTAACAACATTATTCCTCTTTGCTCTGTGTCAGTTAAGCATTGTACTCTGACTAGTCCGTACTGGGTTCCGTGTTTGACAACAGTGTAATGTAGCGAAAACTCGTTCACTAACTACCACTATGCACGAATCACGGACTTTTTCTAGAACAAAAGGCTTGGAGTGATTTCCCTTAAAATAACTCACTAATTCGTCTACAGCAACCCGGTAGTATGATGCTCTCCAATCTAACCATAGATGCTACTTCGTAGCATCCTCTCGTTACTCCCGGACTTCATCTCTCACGAATCAACAGCACATGCCATGCATCTACCTGTTATTAACCCGTGTTACTAATGATTTAAAGCAACCGCCGGTTGCATTACTTCCCATAAAGCTCTGCTTAAAATTGTCACTCTGCCCCGATGCTTGGTTAAGCTGCCAAAATTCAACGTTTTGAACATCAGGCTGATCAAACATAAGACCGGTCTGGTGGGTACTATCAATTCCACCTCAACATGTAGTTGATGCTGTTCGGAAACACGGTTGTAAGACCCAAGCACAGTGCCCAAGTAGACAGTTCCGAACAACCAGTAAGCCACCTACCACGCAAGTCTCTCTGGCGGTACAGAAGCAGTTGCAGTTGGCAGGCGCTGAAGTGGCTTTGGGCAGTAAAGCCAAATCCAGACTCTTGGATTAGTTTC